CGGCAGTTAGCGTCCTTGCGACGGGCTAATCCCTCGTCCAAGGAACTCTACCGACTGTCTAAGGGTAAGAAACTGAAGAGAAACGAAGCGTTTCTCGGCTGCCCTATGCTCCAAGTGGGAGCAACAGAAATAGAATAATAATAATAATAATAATAATAATAATAATAATAATAAATCGGTATATGGATGTCCTACGGGCTGGACGGCCCGGGTTCATTTACAGGCACTGCAAGATTTTTCTCTTCTCCACAATATCCAGACTGACACTGGGCCCACGGAGCCTCCTAGACAAAGTGTACCGTGAGCTCTTTCCCTAGAGGTATAGCGGCCGGAGCGTGAAGTTGACCATCCCCCCCCCCTGTCTAATTACTATCTCCAGTCCCCCATATATCTTCATGGCATGATACTTAACTAATTAAGCATAGGGACAACTTTACCTGTTTTACCTTTTGTGTTTTTGATAGTTTTGAAAATATAGCTGTGGCACAGAGATGGGCCGTCAATGGAGATGGAGTCAATGCATTCACCCTAATGTCAGTGAACGTGTACCGGATCACACGGCGTCACACCTTAGAAGAAATTGTTGTTGATGTTGTGCGAATGTATGAAATGAATTAAACCGATTTTGAACCAATCTCCCCCCCCCAAATGCGACCCTAATCTGCCTTTGGTGTATATTTATGTATCCTGAATGTTTCCTGTAAACCGTAAACTTCCTGAGATACAAAGGGTTTCATTCTTTTGGAAGTCATGTCGCTATACAAAAGCTACGACAAAAGTTTTCCTGCGACTTTTCCAGCCAATGCCTCAACTTTCCGTCTCGAGGTGACGAAGTTCCGTCCCCCGAACACTTAGGACTCCGGTTTTTCCACGTAATTCCCCGCGTCCGCCATACTGATTTTTTTTATATTCCACAAAACAATTTATCTTCACTCTATCTGAATATTCTTGGAATATCTCTTATTAACGAAAATTTCAGGACCTTCCATTATGTGTCTCTGACGTAGCTTCCAGTTCAGTATTTAACACATTGGGAATGTTGGTATTATTGATGGAGAATCTAAGAAGATCCGGCGTGATGTGATATTCACCAGATTTCATTGATTCATAAGTTACTAAGGGGATAGACACAGCTGATTATACTAATAATACATACAAATGAACAAAACTTAATATTTCTGTCGTTATATATGTTAGCAGACATTCCTGCTAGTAGTTACGAATGGGAGCAGAAGATGTTATATATTTATTTAAGGATTGGTACCATAATGTGGCAGTTCTACTCAGTTACGTATGAAAAACGTAAAGCTATCCCTGTAACATGCTGTGACGGCCCATAGGGTTGTAAGACGTCGAGGCCCCCACATTTTGTAAAAAAATCAGCTCACATATGACGATGAGGTTGTCATCCTTACACGCCAGTCGCCCTTTACTTCCAGAAAGATTCCTGGTACTCATTTCTGTTAGAGGCTGAATCGATCCCAGGGCCATAGTGCGGCTGGAAGGATTAGGTCAGTTGAATAATCCATCGGGATTCGAACCTGCGACTTTCTGGCTTAAAGCATAGTGCCTCAACCGACTACGCTACCTCGAGCCCCCAACTCTGGGAAATATCAGCACAGGACTGTTATACTTAGTCACCAGTACTGGCGCTAAATGCAGTTGTTTATTAGCCTTTTCATGCAGATATGCCATTACAGTGGATTACAGAATCCTGTATTTAATTTCTGTATTTGTGACGAAGTTTTCTTATAGGCAAGTCGTTACACACATGCACGCGCGCGCGCACACACACACACACACACACACACACGCAGCTTATCTATAAATTTTATGCCCAGTAGTTCCTCGTTTAGATGTCAATGGAGCTTCGATTGCTCAGTCGGTATATCGGCGTGCTGGAAAGCTGGGGCAAGAAACTTCTCACCACAGCGTCCACACCGTCTCTGGGGTCCACCAATCCTATCAAATGGGTATCAGGGGCGTTTCTCGAGGGTAAAGTGACGGGTGCGTGAAGCTGACTACTTACATAGATCTAGTACCGAGGTTCTGGATGATGGAGCTATAATCCAGTCGCTGCTACGTCTTCACGTGTGACGCTTAATTAATTAAGTACAGGGACAACCTCAGCTTTACTCCAGTCACTTACGTTTTGTTTATACAATGTTCAACTTTCCGCCTTACCCAGATGCCGCTGTATGCAGTTTCTTTACTGTGACTGTTGCAGGCCCACGGTTGTCACATCTGCTACGAAGTATCACGGAGCACAGAGAGGTCCCCTCCTCATCTGCTGGCGAGGCCCCGGCTGCCCGCCTACATGGGGGGCGAGTGGGTAAGCACGCGGTGCGAAACGCGGCCTCTGGGTCTCTTCCTCACACGCCGGTTCCGCTTCCACGTCGGGGACCGGACATGGAACGGCGAGTACCGCTTCTACGCGGACCCCGCATGTGCTGTGCCTACCTTCACCGCCGCGGCGTCTGGACGCTACTCCCGTACCCTCACTACTTCCGGCAAAGTAGAAGGAGGCGTCGAGTTCGACTTCAGGGTGGAACACGCATCCCTTACGGTTCTTGATAGAGGGATGGTCGAGAATCTTCAAGGTGATCGCCGATGTATTCCCGGTGGAGTTTGGAAGGTTGGAGTTCCCAGGGACTTAACTCCGTCACGGGGATGTTCCCCATTAGGGATAATTGTCCCCAGCACAGAATATGAATTGGTTCGTGTCGAAATGGACGCACAAGGGAACTCGTTGTTATTCATGGGCCAACCGGACACAGACAACCAGAGGCGAGGCTCTAGAGAGCGTCCTACTGCATACCAGTTGCCGCTCATCCACTGTAGAAGTCTCCCACCGTTCTCAGCTAATCATCATCATTATCATCACCCGGATGATGATTTCCAAGACAATCACCTCTTTCCCATATCTCACGCAAGAATTGGTCTGAAATCTTCTTCAGTAAGTGTCACAATCACCTGCTCAATTTCCCCTGTATTCGTAACCACTCTTCTCTTAGTGAGGTCTCTCATTTCTGTGTAACTTCTGCGTCTCTTTATCCGGGGTACAAACACGTGATTGGGTGTATAGCGACAAACAAAATGCCTGAAGTAATGTACGTGTCATGACAGCGAATGCTCATTGTAATGTCTGTCATAGCTCATATATTCTGTGTTATGGCACCGTGTAGATTCGTACGTGGGTACCAACGTTTTGGAGGAATGTACAGTCTCTATTTTTACTTGTTCCGTGGAGATTATGCGTAGACGGTATAGCGACTGGCTACGGGATGGACTACCGAGGGGTCGGAGTTCGAGTTCCGATAGGGACCCGCTCTGGGGTTCACCCAGCCTCCTATCGAAATTTGTCCCGGGGATCTTTCCTCGGGGGTAAGTTGGCCAGAGTGAAGCTGACAACTCACTTCCAACTACTGCCGGGGTCAAGAAAAATATGGATCTATACATCCACTCCCCCATAAGCCTTCATGGTGTAGGACTTAATTAGTTAAACATAGCGACATTACCTTACCTTGAAAATTGCGACATTTTCCTAGGAAATATTGGTACCCTAAGCTACACGACGTCATAACCAGACGTGAACATTTCAAATCTTCTATCTCATGCTACATGTTCCATATTTCTGTATTATACAGTGATGTATGTAGGCTCCATACTTAACACTGGATACAAATACAGAGTGTCCGGATGAAAGGTATCCAAAATAAAACAATTATATCTCAGAAAGCATTCATTATACACATTTGTGAGTTACACCATTAAAAAAGGAAACTATCGGAGTTTTCTTCTGCACATATAACTTTCTCAGTAAATTTCAATGTGGGTTCCCTTGGTGACACGACATACGTGTACATCCAGACGATATTCGACCTCGTTCCACGTTGCTTGAAGCATGTTTGGTGTTACCGTAGCCACAGCGTCCCTTATGCGGGCTTTCAGGTGTTAAAGGTCGTTGATCTTAACCTGGTAGACAGTGTTCTCCAGATAAGTCCACAAGAAAAAATCCACTGGGGTTAAATCTGACGACCTAGGAGGGCAAGCAATTGGTCCACTTCTGCCAATCCATCTCTCAGCCATCTCTCTGTCGAGATGATTCCTAACATGGTGGCAGAAATATAGCGGCGCATGTGCATATGCCGGGAATGGGAAAAAAAAAA